GTTTCCTGAAACCCTTTTACCATTTTTTTTTGGAGTTTTTTTTTTTTTTTTTTTTTTTTTTTTTTTTTTGCTATAGGGCGTGTGTGCTCACCAGACAGACAGAGACAGACAGAAAGTAAGAAATCACCCCCCGGGGGGATGGCCACGCCGCAATCCCTTCTCCTCCATTCTCCTCTCAGGATCTTGGGCATGCATGCACACGCACCGAGCGTGAGTTTTAAGCCACTGGGTCCAGGATGCAAACTGCAGTCGACTATGTGGGAGTCCAGCGACATAGCCATTATGCTAACTGCTGATCCCAACCTCTAGTCAATTCTACAAAAAAAGGAAAAAAAAAAAAGAAGGGTTTGATGTGGACTTTATTCAGTTCTTAGCACTACCCTAATATGCTCATCACAGCTAACCCAGACTAGGTGGCATTGGCACTGACAGACAGTCAAGATGCAAATTCAAAACCCTCAGCAACATTCTGAGGTATGAGGGTGGGTTTTCTAGGACCATCACTGAATGAGGGTGGGTGTTCTAGGAGGACCATCACTGAAAAGGGTGAGAGGTTGACTTCCATGTTTCTCTGCTGCCACCAAAGGTGAGCAAGAACTGAACGAACTGAAAAGTCAGTGTTGAATGTTGGACCAAAAGAAGACGGAGCATTTCTATTCCGAGGAGTAATAAGCCAGAGATCTGCGGTACAGTGATCTGAAATCGAAGGATGAAAAATATACCTTCCGAAGTCCTTGTCGAGCCCTATGACCTTTGAATTGACTAAGCCTCGTCCTTAAACTTCTTATTATGGGATGACACAATAGTTTGGCATTTTGTCATGCCATATATATGCACCTATATATTTTTTTCTTTGCTTTTGTAAATCTTTCTGCTACTCCCAACTAGAAGAAAAGAGGTTGACTTTGTGGGTTTTGGCAGGAAGGAGACTAAATACTATGATGTCAGTTTTTGAAACCAACCCATGAGCCCCCTGCAGAAACTCTAGATCTGTTCCTCTTAGGACATCAAATAATTCTCTTTTTGCTTCTAAGGTAGTCCCATGATTTTATTTCTTAAGAAATGAGAAATTTTACAGCTTCTGAACTATTTGTCCATCCACTCGGTCATCTGCCCATGCAGGAGCTTCCACGATCAAGTCGAAATCACAATGTATACACTGGGCTTCAGGGCAGAACGCACATCCTCAGATGATTGTGGTCGTACACAGACACTTAGGGAGTAACAACTAAGATGAACACCAGGGAGCTCCCAAATGGCAGTTCCATTTTCATTCCTTCATTAAAATCATAAAGCCCATAAAACTCATGGTTAGCAATAAACACAATCATTGTGCTACATCGTAAACCACACCTTCTGATCAACAGAAAATGAGAATGGTAATATTATAAAATAAAAATAACAATAATGCCATAACTTAAGATCGTTCATGTAGTCCAGCTACAGAATTTATACAAAATGGATAATTTAATGCAAACAATACTGCTTTATGGATAAGTTAAACATTTTCCTTCATTCTACCTAAGAGCCATAAATTAAAGACACTAAATTTTAAATCAACGTAGCAACATAAAATGTAAACAACTGGAGGGATCAAACAAGCAAAAGGAACTGCTCTGAATTCCCTCCTGTCTTTCCTTTTTGGCTGATGCAATCAGTAAAACCCAGCAGAGGGAAAATATTTTCGTCTGCACTGGAAATAGTTTAATACCTGTATGTGTAGGTCTTTCATAACATCCACCATGAAGCAGTGCCAGAGTCTAGCCAGTCTAGATGGACTATTTGACAGTAACCTCTCTCAAGACAGAGACAGGAACTAAGTCAACATTTGTCTGTATATAAAATGCTAGATAAAAACTCTTAAAGCCAAGGTACCACGAATACCCTGGGTGCTGTTCAGAGCCCATAACTCTGGAGACAGGACAGAAGGCCTGCTTTTGACGATGTAAACTCTTCCCAATCCCTGCTCAGCACCAGCTCTTTCCACACATTTTCAAATCCAATGATTCAAACTGCATTGATTTGGGGTAAAGTAAAACACATTTCGCAAGTAGCATTTAACAAACATGTTATGTGGTGAAAGAGGAGTTGCCTTTTGCAAGCTGCTAATCTTGTTTTTATTCTGACAGTGGTAGCCAGTCAACAAAGCTTCCAGGATAGAACGAGTTAATGGATGAAATCAAAGGAATGGTTTGAGATTCAACACTGGACATACACACACACACACACACACACACACACGCGCACGCACATCCTAGCTGCCTTCAAAGTCTGTCCCCGTTTGAATCAATGTGACTCTAGTAGACAAGCAACCTGGTTCCAGAGGAGTGGTTCCATCTTCCTGTGCAGCTGAGCGGAGCCATCCTGAGAGTGTGCTTGACAAACCCCACACTCGCTCTCCTAACACTGTGGTAGGTGCTCTTTTCCTCTTACCCTTCCTCCTCCTCAGCACCCCTCCCACCCTTTCCTTCCTAAAGGAAGTGGTCAACAGGTGGAAAGGAAAATAAGCCACAAGAAAATGGCACTTGAGTCTGAAATATCAACACATTGGTCAAAGGAACACATTTGTCAAGGTACTGACAATGATAGCATTAAAAAGGGAAGTTTTGTCAATGACGAGGTTTGATGCTATCTGTAGGCTTCACTACCAAATGCTGCTTAAAATTTTAAAAATGAAGTCAACGTTCATGTATACAGTTTTTTTTTTCCTCCTAGAGGAAGCGCTTGCCCTCAGAGACTGGGTGCAGGTATCTGGTCACCCATCAGGTCTAGGCCGTTGCCATCAGCCACCTGGACAAGCTGGCTGAACTCTGTCGTCCGTTCGCACGTTACCTGGAATTGCTTTTCTTTTGCTGTTCTTTGTGTGTGAAATGCTCAATATGTCTTGCTCTGGCTCTTCTTCGGTCAGTTACAGCCAACAGACCCGGTCCCCTATTGAAGCAGCAAGAATACCTCCCGGCCCCACGGACTCCCAGGGCTGTTGCTCCTAAATTCCATTTCTTCTTTCTTTCTTTCTTTTTTTTTTTCTCTGTCTCTCTTTTTTGCAAGAAATTATTGTCTCTATATCATATATAGTTCACTCTTTACAGTACAAAGTGTTAAAATGTCAAACAAAAATAAATATCAATGTTACAGTAGCTAGAATATTCAATAAAATAGATCCCTGCCATTCTTGATTGAAATGTTCAGTGAGACTTAATTTCATTTGGATATTATTTTTCCAGAGATTTGCAAAGTCTCATGTTCCTGTTATTGCAGCTCATTTCTAGGGGGGAGTAACGATGGGAAGCTCTCTTCCCAGACAGAAAGCAGGGAGAGAGCAGGAGGAGTCTGGGGTGTGGACTCGAATGCCCGTGTGGTCATGAGACCTGCAGGACGGTTCTGCTTCACTACCAGGTGGCGGAGCTGTAGTGCTTATTGGTCCTAACTGTGGCGTCAGAACACTCCCCATCCGAAGAGTCACAGTCCGATTCTTCAAACTGCAAAGGGTTCTGCAGTCAAGACAAAACCAAACAAAATAAACACTTTAGCTCATGTCTCAGCATCCAGTAAACACACATGGGCCCTCCCCACAAGACAGGCTCTGTCCTAGGTAGGGGGCCGTGAAGACAGTGAGAGGGCTGATGGCGGAAGAATCACAATGATGCACCCCACAGCCCCACCCTCATGGCGTTTCCTATGCTCGAGGCACTGGAGCGACTGCATTTACGGCTGTTAGTCTTCTCATCCTCACAAGGACCCTAAGAGATAGATGCTACCACCATCCCCATTTTACAGGTGAGGAAACTGACCCGCAGAGAGGTTCAGTGGCTTGCCCAAGGTCAGACCGAGATAGGAGTTAGACCCACTTCCTGCTAGATAGGCTAAGGCCCCAAAGGAAGTCCCTGTGTTTGTCTTTTTAATGACGTCTCTGTGGTTTTCCTCTTAGGTCTGGTTAATGTACAATATACACCCTCTTACATGTCTCCAAGGAATTTATGATTCCTTGCTAATAACACAAGAGATAGGGACACTGAGTACACAGACAGGGTAAAGACCCAAGATGGAGTCACTGTGGCTAAGTCTTCACAGCCACAAGCTGGCTGCACTGGGACTCACAGCAACTGTAGCTAAGGGCGACGGCTTCTGTTCAGTAACTGCGTTCTAACAGGAAGTACAGGGCACTATGGTCTGCCGACCCCACGAAGAGGGTAATAAGTCACGCAGACTACCCTGTAACCATGTTCTAATGCCCACTTCTTATCAGAAAGCCAGCCCGCTGCTCGGACTGCTGCATAAAACCTCATCTCCAGCCCCTTTGGCAACCCATTCGGGGCCCTCCACTGCATAGGAAGCTTTTCCTCCTTCTCTAATAAACTCTGCTTTCCTATCCTTTCCATTTTCCATGTCTCTAATTCTTCCTGGGCGTAGGAGAACCACCCAGCACTCCCACAACAACACGGAAGTGGAAAGGCTGGGATTTACACCCCTGTAGTATACACGGAATGAAGGGTTACGTGGGTGGTGACTGTCCAGGGGAGAGTGGAGACACATAGGAGGGGGGCTCGGACCCTCAACCAGGATGAGGCGGGGCTGGGAGACGGTGATGTTCGAGTGAGAGCTTGAAATGACTGGTTCCTGAGCAGTTCAATGTTAGGGCTTGTTTGGCAGGAACGACCTCATTTCTGTGGGCGTGTTGCTCTCTGTACCTCCAATTCATGGAGGCAGTTGTCTTAAAGGCTCCAGGGACTTGAACATTTTCCAACTCAAGAGAGCTAGGAAGGGGACAGGTCACCTCATAGCCCCGCTCCTCGGCACACAGCTTGCCCAGGGACATCTGCGTCTTCACGCGGCGCACGGCGCACTCCTTGTCCGAGAGCCCGTCCGAGTGCGAGGATATCTCGATGGGGGTCTCCGGCGTCTGGGAGAGCAGGTCATCCAGCTTCTCTGCCAGGCGGTCCTCCAGCCTACCAGCCAGCTCGTCAGGGCTGTTCGAGTGGTCACTGGTGTTTCCCTCCTCTCCATCCGACACAGAAAAATTCTCAGAGCTAAACGTTGAGTACGACTGGCAGCTGCTGAGACAGCGATGGGGCCTAGAACCGCGAGAACCAGAGGAGCTTAACCGCAGGGACGGCTGCTGTCCTTTCCTTCCTCAGGGACAGGTAACCTAGTCTTTTTCCTGCCCCGAGGAAGACTGGTAAAGAGCGATAAAGAGGATTTATTTTGAAGCGACGGCAAGGTGCTGCGGACTGCAGTGTGCTCTGGGCTGAAGCCGAGCTCTGAGTGACTGCAGCTGGCGGGTGTCTCAGGAGGCAGTCAAGGCTAGACGAGGCCGAGGGTGGGGCTCTAGTCTGGTAAGACCGTGGCTGTTTATTTTTTAGATTTTTTGCCATAGGACATGGGTGCTCAATGGAGAGAGACAGAGAGAGGGTGGAAGTGAGAACTCACACCTCAGAGGGGACGGCCATGCCACAACCCCTTTTCCTCCGTTCCCCTCTTGGGATTTTGGGCATGCATGTACACGCACTTGGTGTGTTTTTCAGGCCACCAGGTCCGGGACCCAAACAGTGCAGTCAGCCAAATGGAGTCCAGTGCCTTAACCACTATGGCACCTGGTGGCCCAAGACTGTGACTATAAAAAGGGGAGGAGGGTCTTCCCTCTCTCTGTGTCATGTGAAGACACAGCAAAAAGGTCGCTGTCAGCAAGCCAGGAGGGGAGGCTTTACCAGGAACCTAATCAGCGGGCCCTTTGATCTTTGGCTTCTCCTCCACCCCAGAAATGTGAGAAATGCATTGCTGTTGTTTAAGCCCCCAGCGTGCGATTTTATAGGAGCCTGAGCACAGGACCACAGGGAGGTCCACGGGATGCCAAGGAAGTTGCCCTCAAAGCAGCAAGGCTGTCCCCACGATCCGAACTGCCCCTGTACTCTCGACTGTAACTGGGGGTGGGCATTCACAGGCCTCCTGCTGGAGTTCCCACGAAAGGGACTCTGATCAGCTGGGGTCTGCTGTGCACAGCCACCTGCCACAAAGTGGCGGTTCACACGTCCTGGAAAGCGGTGGCCGGAAGCCTGTGGCTGGACAGCTGTTGGCACACTCGAGGCCCCCGTTACTCGGAAAACCATCGTGTGTTTGGGGTCTTACCTCTGTCTTCGTGGAAATTCAACTTCGCTATCTACTTCCCCTTCTTCCTCTTCTGAGGAGTCATCTCCACTCTAAGAAAAAAAAAGTGATTTATCTTAGCATTTCCCTCCCTCTCACCCCATGCCTCCATAAAATATTTAACTACCATCCAGAAAAGGCCCTCAGTAGCAGCTTGCTGCACCCCCTCACACGTCACGAGCCCCGTCATTCACTGCTGCTTTGCCGGGTGCCCAGACGCCAGGCCCTGACCCACACGCTGGAAGCCTTTCGGAACTGAGCAACTCTGCCTTTGCCCTCAGGGAGGCGAGGCTCCAGAGTGCCCAGGAGGGAGTGACGGGAGGGGAGACGGAGAGGAGCTCCTGGGTCCTGTGACCTCGTCCTAGTCCCCTGTGAACACTGCCATCAGTGCTTCCCGGCCCTGCCAGAGACCCGACCAGTGATCTTCCACCATTGGAGGGAAACAAGAAGACCAGCGTCTCTGTCACCCTTATTTTACACCCACCAACATTCGTGAGTACCTGCGCGTTTGCTTTTGGAGCAGAATGACAGGGTGGGGTTACCCTGGCCGGCGAGGAGAGCACTTGACCCTGGGAGTGCCCGTGGGAGCGCATCTCGGCAGAGAAGCTGAGCTGTGGGTGCGGTTCTAAGGGGGCCAGATGCACAAGGCCATGTCCTGTGGCCTGCAGACCCGCAGATGGCATCGGGGTGGGCCAGACATAACGCCACTTGGGGGCTCTGGGGGGCTGCCGAAGGATGTGAGGTTTCTTTTAAAAACTGGTTGGTAATGGCGATGCCACTTGGTGGGTTAAAAAGCCCTGGACTGCACACTCGTGCTACGTGAGTCCCACCGTAATAAAGCCGCTACCAAAAAACACACGTCACTGCCCTGGGGTGGGTCCGTCAGCGCAACTGCACCAAAACACTGACCTCTGTGAGCGCGGTCCATGGCAACGGAGGGGAGGGAGGAATACGATTCTGAATAGCCCTCGGCTTCACCTTCTCGCTTACTAAAAATCTAACTGACCAAAACATACTCATTTCCATTTTAGACCCTTTCAGCCCTTCCGCTAAATACCTGACAGGCAGTGGTGAAGCGATGAAACGATACTTGGAATTAAGTGTTTACTATGTATGAACCATTTTTCATATAAAATCTTATTTTTTTTTTAACTCATTAAGATGAGCTAACACTTTCGGAAGGCTGTTTGCTATGTGTCCAGGCCTATGTTCTAAATGTTTTACATGTATTGACTCATTTAATCCCCACACCAATAAACGAGGCAGAGCTCTTCATTAGCCTCGCTTTGTAGATGAGAAAAGCAAGGTTCATGGAGGCACTAAGCAGAAGAACCCGGCTTTGAATTAAGAATTGAGGCCTCAAACGTCCCGGTGGAGGAGCTGAGATCAGCATGAAACTGGAAATATTTAAAGCGGCTACACAGCTATCTCAGCAATGCAGGCAATTAAGGGTGGCGGTGTGTGTGAGGGTGCGGCTGGTAAAGCCCGCCTCCTGATAGCCTAAAAAACAAACTTCCACCTGAGCACGTACCAGCTCCTCTTCGGCTACGCAGCCGCCGATACGACTGGTGGGGGCGCGCCCGCCGTTACGACTGGTGGGGAGGCGAATGCTCTCGGGCGATTATGACAGATTACGACCGCTGAGTTATCCACAAACACATGTATTTCTACTTTGTTCTTCAGTGGTCTCTCCGCCTCATTTGAAAATGTGAAAGTGACAGAGATAACTCATCACTGTCCAAAGACTGCTTTTCTTGCTTGTTGGGACCCAAATTGATCTCAGCGATGACGCCTGTACTATTGAGAAACTTGCCAAGAACAAGCAGAAGCCATCACTCCAGAGACTGCAGAAAAGCTGCCCGCGACCTGAAGGCTGTCAAGTCTGTGGAGTGTTCTGCACTCACACAGAAAGGCCTAAGCAATGTCTCTGAGGAAGCAACACTGGCTGCCCTGAGCCTCCAGAGCCCAGGAAGAGCTGCAGGGGTGTGCTGCTATGAGCGTCTCTCCAGAGCCCTTCTGCACAGCTGGTGTCGGCCTCATACTAAAAGCAATGTTTAAATCAAACTAAAGATTAAAAGTTAAAATTCATTTTTGAAAAAAAAAAGAAAAAAAAAACAACTGAGGCCTCAGCTCACACCCTTGACCTCCTTGGTGGGCCACCTTCCAGCCAGTAGAGACACAGGTTTTAATGAATAAGAACTGGCTGGGTCATGGTGGTCGTTAATTAAGGCAGTGTCTCCAAAGTATATTGTGGAGAAAGCTGGGCCAGTGGGGGATTAATGTTATTTTCAAAAGGCTACGTGGCAAAATGGGTACAGAAACGTTGGACTCAGTCTACTGCACGCTTTCTTAAAGCTATAGTTTGATAATGTGCACTAGAGACCTCGGCGAGGTCAACCATGTAGGAGTCCAGTGCCCTTAACCACCAGGCCACCTGGAAAACAGGAATGGAAGGCAACTGTGGACACCTGAGACAGTGTGGGAGGAGCGTGGGAAATGGCAGAGTGAGTAGGGGGAAAAAAGTATATATATATACACACACACATATATATATATATGAAACTAGAAATGGAAAATTATTGACAATAACATGTATGGTTAAGCTACTCTGCAGCATCTTCTGGATGGGAAATCACATTTTGTATGCCGTGACACTGCTCAGTGAATAAATATAAATTAAAAAAACAACAACAAAAAAACCCCCCAAAAAACAAAAGAAACCTCCGACGAGGAGACAAGAATACCCAAGGTCTCAGGGACCAGCAGTTAGCATAATGGCTATGTCGCTGGACTCCCATGTAGTCGACTGCGGTTAGAGTTCTGGGCCCAGTGGCTTAAACTCACGCCAGACGCGTGTGCGTATGTGACCAAGATCCCGAGAGGAGAATGGAGGAGAAGGGATTGTGGTGTGGCCATTCCCCCTGGGGGGTGATTTCTCACTTTCTGTCTCTCTGTCTGTCTCTGTCTTTCTGGCGAGCGCACGCGCCCTATAGCAAAAACCTCTCCAAAAAGAAAAAGAAAGAATACCCAAGGTTTCAAACTTATTTTACAATGGGACCCTTCCTTCTTGCAATGCCTGACAGGGCTAGGGCTCTGGGATAGTGAATTCAATGCTGTTTTGATGATATATTCACAATATCTGGCCACCTGTTTATCAATCCTGTACATATGAATCACCCCCCTGACTCAGTAGTTCCCCAAGTGCATTTCCTAGTTCATCACTGAATGAGTATGGAGAAAGTACCTGACATAAAAGAAACTTCTACTCATGCTTTTGCTGTCTCATCCTTTCACAAAGCGTGGATGTTTTATGCACATTTTCTAATGGCCTAAGCTGACAGGCTCTGGCATGCTTGGAGGTGGTGCACAGGTGCTCACGTCCGCACGCTTACCTTCTGAAGGGGTCTTGTTTTTCGAGGTAGCATTGGGGGGGTGATGTGATGAGGGGTACCAAGGGATGACATGGACCTACGGCCACTGAATTCATTCTCCTCCGGGTCCTCAGAGCGGGCGTTGTCCGAGAGGGGATGGTGTGCTGGTGAGTTGGAGAGGCTGGGGCTCCTCCCCGCCGCCTCAGCACAGGGTATGTCTGAGGCGCCTCTCTGCTCTGGCCTGCACTGGAGGCAGGGCTCGTACGGGTCAGCCTGGCAGCAGCCCCAGGGACCAGGCTGGCCCTGGTCAGGCTCAGAACCTCTCCAGCAATCTGCCGCCATGGCTGTAGAGATGAGGTCAGGGCTGGAGCCCGGCATCTGTCTGTGAGCGTGGTTGCTGAGCGGGCTCCGCAGGGCTGCCGCTGGGCCGAAGTAGCGCAGGTTGTTGGCGCAGGTCGCAATGTCCTGCCCGTGCATATTGAGTCTGGGGTGGTGACTCTGAGAAGTGGCAGGAGCGGGGTGCTGGTATTGCTGCTGCAGAGGGTTACTGGGCTGGAGAGGAGGGTGCTGGGGCTGGGCCTGGTGAGGATGGGTGGGGTGGGGGGGTTCCTCCCGGGCTGGCTGGTTCTTCAGGATGGCCGCAAAGTCACTATGGCTGCCACTGCTGCTCCCTCGGCGATGGCGTGGTTTGCCGCGGGGTCGGCTTTTGCTGCTTGAGGTGGGCGTTTTGGGACTTCCAGACAGTGGGGATGCAGTGGGAGGCACATCTGTGCTGGGGATACCTTCAGACCTCAGCAGATCTGGTCTGTGCGACAAGGACAGGGTAGGTGTAAACACGTGACAGCATGTCCTGAGCCTTAACTCACACACACCCTTCGAGCGAGCAGTCACACACACACATGGCAATTCAACCAACGAAGAAACGGAGGTGCACAGGGACCACGTCTGACATCTGTATTTGAGAGGTTTTTGCCGTAGGGCACGTGTACTCTTAGGAGAGAGAGAGAGAGAGAGACAGTGAGAGGGAAAGTGAGAAATCACCCCCCAGGAGAGATGGCCACGCCATAATCCCTTCTTCTCGGTTCTCCTCCTGGGATCTTGGGCACGCACGCACACACGCCCAGCGCGAATTTCAAGCCACCAGCTCTGGGACTCGAACTGCGGTCGGCCAACTGGGAGTCCAGTGATGTAACTGCTATGCCATTTGCTGGTCCCAGTGATATCATGGTATTCTTTAAAACAGCAAACAGCTGAAAACAATCTAAGTGCCCATTTGCAGAGAATGCCTTTTATTCCTTCTGGATTTTGTCCTGTGCCTCACTGGCCTGGGTACTCAATCCTCCTGACACTAATTCTACTCTAGAGGCCTCTCGAACTCTCTCTCGTAATCTCTCTCATAATCGCACCTATCAGCTTGGTGCCGACAGAAACTGTCTGATGATGGGCGGGGACTGCTCTGCTAGGGGTCACAAAGGAAAGCGTCTGGAACCAGAGAAGGAGCGCTCTGGGTTAGGACAGAAGGGGCTCAGTTCAGGGAGCTTGGCCTGATGTGTTTTCCTTGAGGGCAGGTACTATGTCCTGTCTTCATACGTGAAGGACCCGATGAGTCTTTTCATGGTGGGTACATAACAACATTTCAAACAGAAGGAAAAGAGAGGGAGGGGAGAAAGCCTGGGAAGTTGAGCAGAGGCAGCAAGGTAAGGGCTGACGAGGAGTGACACTGGGGTTCTACTCTGACGCTGGAGGAGGGGGTCCTCCACGGCCCTGCTGTACGTGCGGCTGGGGAGCAGTGCTGGGGTTCTACTCTGATGCTGGAGGAGGAGGTCCTCCACGGCCCTGCTCTAAGTGCGGCTGGGGAGCAGTGCTGGGGTTCTACTCTGACGCCGGAGGAGGGGGTCCTCCACGGCCCTGCTCTACGTGCGGCTGGGGAGCAGTGCTGGGGTTCTACTCCGATGCCGGAAGAGGAGGTCCTCCATGGCTAAGTGCGGCTGAGCCAGCACGAAGATCACATGCAGGAGGAAGCCAGGGCTAGAAGGTAAATGGTGTTGACGCCGACTCTGAGGCTTATGGGTAACAAATGGTTTCTGAACTGGTGCACTGATTCGGGGCAGAGATGCCCAGATTACCAGGAAGTACTGCCACTTCCTTCCTACCACTGAGTAGTCTCGCCTTCCTTGGGACTAGACAGACATAAGCCAGAAAAGAATTTAATTCAGAGGCCCAAATGTTTTAGGCCTTTAACAATAGAATCCTTTTCTCAAATGAATTAATATTTTTTTCTTTTAGAGAGAGATTTTGCTATAGGGCGTGTGTGCTCATCAGAGAGACAGAGAGAAAGAAAGCAAGAAATTAACACCCTCCCCTCGGGGTGGAGGGTGACCACACCACAATCCCTTCTCCTCCATTCAACTTTCAGGATCTTGGGCATGCATGCACATGTGCCTGGCATAAGTTTTAAGCCTCCAGGTCCAGGACTTGAACCAGGGTCGACTACGTGAAAGCCCAGCAATGTAGGCATTATGCTATCTGCTGGTCCTCTCAAATGGTATATGAACAAATGAGGGAGCCAGCAGTTAGCGTAATGGCTATGTCGCTGGACTCCCACGTAGTCGACCGCAGTTCGCATCCCGGACCCGGTGGCTTAAATCTCATGCTGGGCACGTGTGCATGCGTGCCCAAGATCCCAAGAGGAGAATGGAAGAGAAGGGACTGTGGCGTGACCATCCCCCCTGGGGGGTGATTTCTTGCTTTCTGTCTCTCTGTCTCTCTGTCTGTCTGGCGAGTGCACGCGCCCTATAGCGAAAATCTCTCCAGAAAAAAAAAAAAAAATGAGGCAGAGCTAGCTGAAGGTGGAGGGCAGAAGGTGCCCTTGCAGGATCCCCCCTCTAAAGTGCCCCGTGAGATGCCCCTATGCCGGCCCTGCTTCTACCGTATGGGACAATGAACCCAGTGCCCAGCAAGAGTGGCTCAGGGCTTCACGGTGTGTTGGTGATGGAATCCAGACCACAGGTCTCTCCTCCTTCCAGCTTGGCTTGCTGGATAGGGTACAAACTTGAAGCCACACACAGATCACACAGGGAGCTTGTTAAAATGGAGATTTTCATTCAGGAAGCCTGGGGCGGGGTGGAGGAGCCTGTAAGTCTAACAGACTCTTAGATGATGCTGAACTAACGATTACCCTTTGAACGGTCAAGACTCCCAGAAAATTAGTAGGTACCAGGCAGTAGGAGATGGGGTTTAACCGACGTTAAAGGCGCATCTGAACACAAAGTCCTAGTGTTGCTAGGCTATGACGAGGCCGGGCTCTGCGGCCATCAATGGCTTCCTGTCCCGGACACGAAAGTCTGTGATGTTCGAAGTGATGGGTACGCTCATGGGATCACTGCACACGGTACACACATATCAACTATCTTATTACACTCCATAAATGTGTACAATGATTACGTGCCAATGAAAAAAACTATATTCTGCTGACAAACTTGTGCTGCATAAAGTATCTGGATTGATGAGGTCCTCGGGATTGTTCTGAGGCAAGAGCCCTCCACAGCCCGGCTGGAGGCATCGACTCCCACAGGATGGCAATCGCGGTGACATCTAAAGGAGAGCTGAGGCGGAAGTGTCCTCATGGGGAGAGTTGCTTCTACAGGAGCCGGCAGTGCAAAAATCAGAGTGACCCTGCTGCAGAACTGCTCCGTTGGCAGAATGCTTTATAATATAAAGGGCGTGGTTCCTACTATTGCAATATGTGTTTGGCAGATAAGGTACTGAGGGGCCAGCTGGTGGGATGGTGGCTAGGCAGCTGGATCCCACATGGCTGCCTGCATGGTTTGAATCCCAAGTCTGGCAGCTTGAAAAACATGCTGGGTACATGTGTGTATGTTCCCAAAATCCTGAGAGGAGAATGGCAGAGAAGGGAGTGCGGCCTGGCCTTCTCCCCTAGGGGGGTGTTGTCTCACTTTCTCTCTATCTCTTGTCTCTGGTGAGCAAAACAAACAAACAAACAAACAAACAAACAAACAAACAGAAGCCAAGAAAACAGATGCGGGCACTGAGGTGGGCTGTCTTGTGCTTGTTACAAAGCAAATGGCAGAACTCGCAACCTGAACCCACGTTTCTCCAGGGCAGCGCTCTTCCCTAGTGCCAGCTTATCTTACTGAATTATACTCACTTGTGGCAGGCTTGGGAGACCTACAATGAGACCGCATACTCTTCTTTCTAGTCTAACTAAAACCAACCACTACACATAAACCTAGGCTTAAGGGTGGTCTCCTCAGAGGCCTCTAGAGTGACGACTTGGTCGTTACTGACTACCAAGATAACCTGAAGCTTAAGTCCTTCGGAGGACTAGCAATGACAGAGCCACTCTGGCAGCTGCGTCCTGCGTCCAGCCAGCCTACTGCCTACGCACCACCGCAGGTGGGCGCTGTCCAACACTGCCCGGATAAGGCAAACACAAGCTCGCCTTCCGAAACATTGAAGAGTTCTGTCTCCTCCCCCTACACTTCTGGTTGTAGTTACAGACAATGCAGGGAGGTGCCAGCAGGTGAACCTGGCCCCAACTAGAACACATAAGAATAGAGGTGCTGGGATCCCCCCGGGTTTCCAGAACTTCCGCAGACAATGGTCAGGGCGGCAAGGCATCGCAGAAGCGGAATGAGTCTATACGGTCACGCATGAGCTGTTTGTGCCAGTCGTGCCGTGGGAGGAGGGCCATGACTGCGACGCCTTCTTGTTACCTGTACTCGCACTGCACTTAGCTCAGTCTCGCTCCTGCGCCTACGCCCCAGGGTTGGAGACATTTCTTTTAGCTTAGAGACCAAATCCTGCTATTTAGGAGAAATAAGGCTGTGCAGAGTTTGTTTAGAAAAAAAAGTGTAAGAGTATTCTAAGGTTAAACGAACAGGAGGCCGATGGGTTACAAAAAGGGACAGGGCCAGCTTTTCGTAACTAGGCAAAAACCTATCTATGATTTGACAGGTGATTTCACACATTGCCTTAATTAAACCTTACACAATCCCACGCAGGAGTGAAATAAGAGGACCCACAGGGTTAGATACAGGTGATTATCAAGGCTCCTGCTTTGGCTCTCGGTGGTGAGTCTGCAAGCAGTTACTAAATTATTAAAAGAACTAGCTAAGTGTACAGGAAAGCGAGTCGTGCATGGACCATGTCCCAAATCAAGGGTTGTGGTTAACCCAATTCCGCATCCTAGCGTTCATAAACATAGAGAGAACTCATGTGCTATAATCATGCTATTTCACACATGAAGATGCGGGGGCTGAAAGAGGTCAGGGGACATGGCCTAGGTCTCACCGCGTGTGAAGCAACTCCTGGTTTGAATCTGGTCTGTCAGGCCCCAGGTGCCTTTCTCTCTCCTCTCGTCCATGCTAAGACAGTAGATGTCTACACTTGCAGTAGCAGAAGTTCGAGTCCTGGAGTCCAGGACACGCTCTCGCCCCTGCTCACTTGGTTTCCTCTAGACACGCGTGTGCTGGCCATGAGCGACCCAAGCAGCCACAGCCAGCCCCTGTGAGCGTGTGCTTTCAGGGGCCCAGGTCCCCACCTCTCTGAGCCCCAGGCTGGGACAGGGGTCTCACCGTCTGGTCTGCATCCCAGCCTTGTGAGGCACACCTTTTCTTTTCATCAGTTTCTCCATGGCATTGGGGTGGATGATTGGACGCACAGGGTGTCGCTTGTAGGTCCCGGGATACTTCTTCTCCACTGCTTGCTCACGCCTGCAGAACAACAGAAAAAGCCACATCGCAGTCCCTGCAGACGGAAAGGACAGGAAGGACGGGCGGTTGTTTTCACAGGCTAATTCCACCCACGGATTCGGGCTGTACCCGACAAATACTGGCTATCTGAATGAGAGGGCTGCTATTCAGGTTAAAAACAAGCAAATAAGCAAACAAAACAAGAAAAATACTAAATTTGAATTACTCTGACTTGCACTCACTAGAGAAAGGGAAAGTGAGAAATCACTCCCCAGGGGAGTGGCCACTCCACAATCCCTTCTCCCTTCTCCCCTCAGGATGTTGGACATGCAAGCACATGTGCCTGGCGTGATTTTCTTTCTTTCTTTCTTTCTTTCTTTCTTTCTTTCTTTCTTTCTTTCTTTCTTTCTTTCTTTCTTTCTTTCTTTCTTTCTCTCTCTCTCTCTCTCTCTCTCTCTCTCTCTCTCTCTCTCTCTTTCTTTCTTTCTTTCTTTCTTTTTTGATTTTGGAGAGGTTTTTTCGCTATAGGGCGCGTGCGCTCGCCAGACAGAGAGAAACATAGAGACAGAAAGCGAGAAATCCCCCCCCGGGGGGATGGTCACACCGCAATCCCTTCTCCTCCATTCTCCTCTCGGGATCTTGGGCACGCATGCACATGCACCCGGTGTGAGTTTTAAGCCACCGGATCCAGGACGTGAACTGCGGTCAACTATGTGGGAGTCAAGCGACATAGCCATTATGCTAACTGCTGGTTCTGCCTGGCGTGATTTTCAAGCTGCTGGGTCCAGGACTCACGCTGTGGTCGTCCATGTGGGAATACAGTGCCTTAACCACATGTCACCTGCTGGCCCCTGAATGACTCTGACTTTATTCTGCCGTTCAGCTTGTGGACAAGAACCTTCCCTTTGTTTTTCTTTCCTTTTTTTTTTTTTTAAAGAGGTTTTTTTTCCTTAGGATGTGTGTACTTTCCAAAGAGAGAGACAGAGACAGTGAGAGGTCAAGCAAGAAATCACTTGCTAGGAATGGCCACGCCACAGTCCCTTCTCCTCCACTCTCCTCCTAGGATCTTGGGCACGCACACATTCACACTTGGCATGATTTTCAAGCCATTGGGTCTGGGACTTGAACCATAATCAACCATGTGAGAGTTCAGCAACGTAGCCACTATGCCAACTGCTGGCCCCAGACCTTCCCTGTCCTAACACGATACAACGGCAGAAGTCCTGCTTAGTTTCTGAAGCTGCTATCTGGTCAGGACCTCAGGGTATCCTTGCCACCATGGGGAATGGCTTAAACGACTTTCTGCAGCCTCCGTACTCGGTTGAAACGAGCTTGCAGAAGGTGACGTTCAAGCGCCTATGGCGTGCATGTTCCCTATAACCAGCCCTGGGGCTACTCCATCCTCCTGTGCTTTACCAGGAAGGCACCCGTGCACAGCATCCCTCGTAGGATGCTGGTGAATGGATGAAGGGCCTGTCAGTTCTGAGTGGCAGTGACATGGAGAACAGTAGGACTCTGCTGACTGACAGACACGGCTCCGTCAGGACAGACCTCGGTCTGCACACATACTTAATGAGCTCCTTCTCGCGCATTTCCAGCTGCAGCATGATGGCACTCAGCTCCATGTATAAATTATTCGCCCGCTCGAGCTTCCTCTCGTAGTGTTCACGGATGTCCAATGCATGCCTACCAGAGAAAGCACAGGGTCGGGGAGGACAAGGCATGCTTGGTGAAAGCAGCAGCCGGAGGGTCTCTCACAAACAGTGCCAGGGCCCTCTATTTTGAGGCTGGCCTGTCTGGTGCGACGGCTCAGACGAGGTGCGGTGGGAGACAGGAAGTTCAAGCTCTCCCCTGGTTTAGCCATAAAGGCCCATCTAGCCACGTGGAACAGCCAAAAGGCCCGCAGATGAAGTCTGAATGTGATGTATCGTTTGTCACCTTCAGCTGTGCACCGTTGGCACTATGTTAACAAGAACATACACGTGTGTATTAAGGGAAATGTGCAGTTAAAGCAACACCATGACCACCCATTCATACTTCACATGGCTCAGGTCCTATCTGATATAGGTCTGTATCTGACTGATACAGTCTGGTGGCTGTGTCTCCCAAAATTCATATTTTGAAATCTGGGTCCAAAGTAATGGTATTAAGAGGTGTGGCCTTTGGGGGTATTTAGGTTAGAGTGTCCCTCTTGAATGGGAGGCTTAAGGGAGCCCTTTTGCCATGCGAGAACATATAGAAGGTGTCATGCACAAGGAGCAGGCCTCGCTAGACACTGATCTTAGACTCCTGTCTCCAGAACTGTAAGCAACACCTTTCTGTTGCCTATAAATCAGGTCTCAGGTATTTTGCTATATCAGCTCAAGCTGACTGAGACAGCGGTGGTCTAGGAAGATGTTCGCATCCTTTAATAGATCACAAGCATCCTGAAACCAGGGACCACACTGGATGCATCTCTGGCCTCCTACGGCACCCGGGACAGCAGCTGAACGAACAACTGGCATTTCTCCGGGTGTCTGTCCCAGAGATAGAGTGAAGAAGGTCACAGAGTTGGGGGAGGGAGTGAGGAAAAGATCAAAGGGTGGCTAGCTTTTAGAGTCATTCTAAAGAGCGTAACCATAAAAAGCAGAGGGGAAATGTGCAGAAAGTGAAATGGTGGTTCACCAAGAGGGTTCTGCTAATATCTGAAAACCTGGGACGAAGGGGAGAAGGCGAGGCCAGCCGACCTGAGCTCCTCTCTGCGCCTTCGGATCAGCTCCTCGTCCAAGCGGTGTATACACGCGCCTTCGCTTTTGATCTTCTCAAAGTGCTTTTTCACTTCTTCTCTCCATTCAGCCTGGGTTAAGGGCAAATAACATTTTGATAATCTTCTAGGACTTTCAATCCCTGATATAACCATAGGATCACGTACAAGATATTTTCTTTCTTATGTGCGTCTGCATGTTCTTCCTGAATTTCCTACATGCTTCCTGTGTGGGCCTTATTCAGAATAGTTGTTCAAGGAATATTAGTTGATTGATGGCAACATATCTCATACTACTGTAAATGCATGTCCAAACCACTGTTTTAGTTTTTTTTGTTGTTGTTGTTTATTTGTTTGTTTTAATTTGCCAGTGGGCACATGCACTTGTCAAAGAGAGAGAGAGAGAGGAGAGGGAGAAAGCACCTCCCCCAAGGGGGCATGGTCCCACCACAATACCTTCTCCATTTCTCAATTCTTTTGAAAATTTGAGCACACATAGACACACACACCCAGTGTTTTTCAAGCTGCTGGGTCTGGGACTTGAACTGTGAGGCAGGCCATGTGAGATGTGGCTCCCTTAACCACTAGGCTACAGGGTTGGCTTCCCTTGCCCCATTTTCTGCACTTCCCCTCCACTATGCTGTCTCCTTCTCTGTTTCCCTATTTTTTTTTCCTACAGTACTGTCTACTAAAACCACCACACCTCGCACACTGGCTATTTTCTGGAACAAAAAGAGTTCAATTTAAGTCAAGATGGTAGCTGAGAAAACCCAACCAGAAAGAACAGCTCCGATAACCATGTGGGTACGTGTGTGTCTGTGAGAATGATTACTATTACAACTGGCACCGGAAATGCTCTTAGGCTTTATTTATAAAAATACCTTAACGTACTTGGAGTAGAAGACCTCGGGACAAGAACAACAGGAGAGGGGATACAAATACAGAGAACTACACAGGAAGTCGGAATAGAGTGAGCAAACACAAAAGACAGGAGGAGGAGGAAGAGAGGGTGTAGCCAAACAATTTAGTAGTCGGGCAAAATTTAAGGACAGTGATGGGTATCTTGCATGTGATTTAGCTGTTTACAATTTAAACCTTTAATTTCCTAAGCTTTTAATAGAGACACTGACATTTACCTTGGTTTGGATGAGTGTTTTTGTTTATTTGTTTGTTTTGGAAATCAAGGAGAATTACTGAAAATCACATTTGAGTCAATGACAGGCCAAAAATAAAGAAAGAACTAGAAGACAGCAGGGGGGGGGGGGGGGGCAAGATTTTAGGAAGGCAGAGCCAACATGGCCAGGAAGTTATAAATCTTTCACGAATTCACAGAGGTGTGGGAGAGGATATTTGGCTTTCCACAGAACATGGAATTTCAAGTCAGATTTATTTACACTTTACGGAGCAGGAAAACCTCTGCCCGGATACGGTTTACTGGTAGTTTCTAGGAAAACAGGCTGGAAAAAGAAGTTCCTCACTTATAAAGAGACTACTATCTGAGGAAGCTAATGAGATTAAGATAATTGCCAGTGGAGTCTAGACATGTAACTTTCTCCATATAATCTGCTCCTAGAATTTTTCCATGATCTTTAGATTCATGTTAAAAAGTATCCTTCTGGGCCTGTCCATGGCCTAGCGGTTAAGGTGGCCGGATCTAATATGGCTGACCATGCAGTTGAAGGTCTAGACCTGGCAGCTTGAAAAACATGCTGGATGGAAGTGTGTGTGTGTGTGTGTGTGTGTGTGTGTGTGTGTGTTCCCATTTCCCACAGCGGATGCTTTTTGCTTGTGCACTCTCTCTCTGGTGAGTGCATATACTCTCTGCCAAATTAAAAAAAGAAAAGCATCTTTCTGAATTATAAGGTGGTTCTATTTTTAATTTGCTGGGGATCTCTCATACTGTTTCTTACATCAACTGTACATTTTGCATTCTGACCAACGGTGTACAAGGATTCTTGCCAACACTTACTGTCTTGTTTTTTTGATAACAGCAATTCCATTTTCTGGGTATTTAAGCAAAAGAATTAAAATCTGAATCTTGAAGAGGTGTTAGCACTCTCATGTCCATTGCATTATTTATAATAGCCAAGATGTGGGAACTGCCTAAAGTCATCAGTAAATGAATGGGTAAAGAAAATGCCATATAGACATATAATGGGGGATTGTTCAGACTTAAAACAGAAGGATATTTGGACTAGCTCCATGGCTAGTGGTTAAAGGAAGTTGGATCCTATATCACCAGCTGCATGGTTCGAATCCCACCCGGCCCCTGGGCCTTGAAATACATGTGTGTGTGCACACCTGCCCCCAGACCCAATAGGATGAAGAGGGGATTACAGCCTGATGCACGACCACGCCCCACTTGCGAGTGCCTTCTCCCTCTCTCTCTCTCTGTCTCTGGCCAGCACACGTGCCCTCTGACAAAATTATTTTTTAAAAAGGAGGAAATTCTGCAATACATGACAACAGAAGTGAACCTTGAGGACATTATGCTAATTGAAATAAGCCAGTTACAGAATGAAAAATACCATACAATTCCACTTATACAAGGTGTCTAAAGTGGTCAAACTCACAGAAGCAGAGGAGAGAAGGACAGTTTCTGAGGGGAGAGCAGGATTTTTTTTTTGCTAATGGATGGGTAAAAAGCTTCAGTTTTGGAAGAACAAGTTCTTCTGTACAACATCCTGCCGATAGCTAGCAAACTGCACCGCAAACTTACAGTCTGTAGAGGACAGATCCCACATTAAATGTTCTGAACACAATAATGAGAAGTATTTCTCTGAATCATGCAAGAAGTTATTCTTACGTAATTGTGAATTTATTGCAGGTTTTCTTTAAATGACCTAGTTTGCATTTACTTTTATAGACGTTACAATTATAGTTATTTAGAATATGACCATCATGCTTATCTGTTTATGACATACTAGGTATGTTGCCCACTGGAGAGAGCTGTCTGCTAGTCAGCTGGTTTTCAGACGTTAAACCATTGGAAAGCGAAATTCAAATGCACTGCCCTGTTGTTTGGGTAGTCTTTGCCAGCATCTAAGCTGATGGTTACGGGAAACTTGAAGAGAACTGTCTGGGGCTAGCAGATGGCGTAGTGGTTAAGGTGGCTAGGTCCCACGTGGCCAACAGCATGGCTTGAGTCCAGATCTGGTGGCTTGAAAAACACACTGGGCACATGAGCACGTGGGCCTAAAATCCTAAGAAAATAAGAGATTGTGGTGGGGACATCACCCCAAGGGGTGCTTTCTCACAGTCTCCACCCTGTTTCTGGTGAGCGTACACACCTGACAGCACAAATTAATTAATTAATTAAGAGAGAGAGAAAAAAGAGAGTTAACTGTCTGAACATTGAAACCTATAAGGAAGTAGATTTCTAAAATGAAGTTCCTTTTTATGAAGAGGAAACAGGATGTATAGGAAAATGCCAGGTACTTATTAATGACGTTTTCCCTGAAGGTGTGTTCCTGGTAGATGTTAAACTTAGAATCTATGTAATAGGAATTCTGATTTGAGCTTGCTTGGCAATTTAGGCATGTCTAGTCTTATCTGAAGAGCGGAGGGTGGGTATGACTACAGCCAGTTTTCCCAGAGACAGGAGCCTCCAATAGAGAACATACCATGGGGAAGGAGGCATCCTGCTGGAACTTGACGTCACAGGAGGGAAGGAGCATTCCCCATTGCTTCATCAAGAACCCTGAAAACGCTGGGCCCCCAGCATCGCTCTGTCAGCTCCCACAGAGTGCACCTCCATGAGGAGAGGAAAGGTTCAGGGCATACAGAACAGTTCTGGAGTAGCGAACTCCAGCTTCCACTGCAGCAGGATAGGGCAGCTTCCGGGGGTGACTGGCAGTGCCTTAAGAACATGGCAGCACCCAAGGGTGCCGAGTGGGGCCAGAGTACTTCAGCCCAAAGCAGTGGTGGCTGACTGACGAAGGTGATCTCCAGCAGATCTGGGCAGGAGACTGTGTCAAGCCAGTCAATGCAAAGCACAACACATGCTAATATGAGGCCAGTCCCTTATCTTCACTGAGGAGCCTCCAAAAATGCATGTGGTGGGGGGTGAGGGGTAGGAAATGCTTAACAAGGTACTTAGGTCTCAAGTGAGCAGGTCAGGGGAAAATCTAGTGAAACGCGGACTGCTTCATTGTAATACCCTCTTTATGTCCCAGATAAAGCTGGGAAATCCATAACATTTAGAAGAGTTTTGTGTTTTCTAGTCTTTCAATTATTCAGTCAGTATACTGAAGCCCTTGCACCCAAACTTGCCTTTTATCTCCTATTAAAACAAAGTTGAACGGGGAACCAGCAGTTAGCATAATGGCTATGTCGCTGGACTCCCACGTAGTCGACCGCGGTTCGTGTCCCGGACCCGGTGGCTTAAACCTCATGCTGCTTGCGTGTGCGTATGTGCCCAAGATCCCGAGAGGAGAATGGAGGAGAGGGGATTGCGGAGTGGCCATCCCCCCTGGGGGGTGATTTTTCGCTTTCTGTCTCTCTCTCTGTCTGGCGAGCGCATGCGCCCTATAGCGAAAATCTCTCCAAAAAAAAAAAAAAAAAGTTGAACAAATAAATGGAGTATTATGATTTTTTTTTGGAAAGTTTTTATCTTTTTTTTTTTTTTTTGCTATAGGGCATGTGCGCTCACCAGAAAGACAGAGAGAGACAGAAAGACAGAAAGTAAGAAATCACCCTCCAGGGGGGATGGCCATGCTGCAATCCCTTCTCCATTCTCCTCTTGGGATCCTGGGCACGCACACACGTGCCCAGCATGAGTTTAATCCACCAGGTCCGGGATTCGAACCACAGTCGACTACCTGGGAGTCCAGCAACATAGCCATTATGCCAACTGCTGGTTCCTAGATGGAATATTATTTACCCACAAAAAATAATGAAGTTCTGATACATGCTACAATATAAATAAACCTTGAAAACATGCTAAATGAAAAACAAGCCAGAAACAAGAGGACGAATACTAAACACATTTAAATGCAGTGTCCAGTACGGGCACACGCATACTACACAGATTCTAAGTTTAACATCTACCAGGAACACACCTTCAGGGAAAACGTCATTAATAAGTACCTGGC